GGTGGACTTCAACTCCCAGAATCCCCCAGCCGGCCTGCTTTAAGATGGATGTTCTCGAGAAGAACAGACCTTGAGGGTCTTCTCCTTACCATTTCTGGAGAAATGTACTTGAGATCTTGGTGTTTCCCTTCCACCGTCTGGAGGACGTAAGCCTAAGAGAGGAGAGCAAAGGTGGCCATCGGTTGCCATGGCTACCCTGAGCCAACAGAGGAGTCCCACCCTGATCCACAACTTGCTCCAGGGAGAAGTCCTCAATGAAGGACCTTCTTCTCTGCCAATACCTTGGAGAAGTCGCCAATCAGCTCACGCTGGTCTTGGTCCAAGATGTTGGCAATCTCCAAGGGACAGCAAGAACGGGAGCGCACCAGCCGAGGCGACTAGAAGAACGGGACACAGGGACATCAGAGGTCCACCCAACCCAAGGTGGTCCTCCACGTTGGAAGCCCGAAAGGGTTCTTGAGACGTTCCCGTAGGTTGACCCATGCCCCGAGGAGACCCCCGTTGGACAGCATCCTCTTCAGTGGCCTATTAAGGGTGGCCCAACCACACGATGGAGATGGCCAGAAAAAGGACGCCATCCTAAGCCATTCAACTAAATCCAGCTGCAAAGGATCTTGAGATCTTTTAGCATGATCCTCCTGCTCCCCCTCCTCCTGGGGAGCAGTGCAGCAGCTAACAAAACCAAAACTGCATTCCATAAATGTTTTCAAAGATAGTAACTAGGTGACTGAAGTTTCTGCCCTGCAAAATTCTAACTGGAGAACATGATTGATGACTCTTGGCTATGGAGGTGTCCCATTGGAGAATATGAATTATGATACACCCAGGGGGTGGGGGAAAAACCTGGGTCAAGGGTGACAATGAATGATGTGTCTCAGAGTCGGCTGCACCCAGGTAATGCCGGCATGTTAACTCCCAATAAATCCTCTTGAAGTTTTGGAAGTTTGGCTCGAGACTCATGATTTAAATGGGGGTAATTGCCGGAATCCTGAACAAGCGGCTGTTGTGGGGCTCAGGTCCTGGGGTTTGCGGTAGGTACAACAAAGGAGCCCCACCCCGCCCCTTACCGGTTCTTCCTGCTTCTCCACAATGGCGTTGCCGTTGAGGCTCTTCCGCCGCTTGGTGTTTACGGGGGTGTCTTTCTCCTGGGCCCGGTCCAGCCGCTTCAGGATGGGCCGGATGACACTGCTTGGCATGGAGGGCGACCGGAAGAGGCGTTGGCACCTGGACCTCACCTGCACAAAGGAGGAAAAACAGATGAAATGGAGGGCTCCGGTAGATGATAGAGAAAAAAGAAGAGGAGGAGGAGGAGAAGGAGGAGGACTTCGCGCGTGCACCTAACACGCATACCGCTTTCCAAACACCAGCTGAGGTTCTGCCGCGCCAATTAGTTGAGAGGATAAAGAACAGAGAAGTGCAGGGACGAGTGGGAGGGCTGATCCTATACTTTTCTTTCTACACTCAGCTAATCGTCGGAGCTTTTTTTATTACCAGTTCTGCTGAACCAATAGCATTTCACCACTGTGGACCACCCAAGACAGGGCAGCAAGAAATGCGTGACACCCGACTCCACAATGTCGCAGGACCCACATGCTCAAACTAGGCAAGAAAAAACAAAAGGACCCCTATAAACTGGGTGAAACCAGGCTCAATAGCAGGAACTGGGAGAGGGATCTTGGAGTCTTAGTGGACAACCAGCTAAATAGGAGCCAGCACTGTGCAGCGGCAGCCCAAAAAGCCAATGCAATTCTAGGTTGCATTAACAGAGGGATACAATCGAGATCAAGGGAGGTACTAATACCACTCTATAAAGCCTTAGTAAGACCACACCTAGTGTCAGTGTGTGCTCCCTTCAAGATCCAAGAAAGAAATACTCAAGACTCCATGGGTTAGAGCAAAGTTATCCTTTTACTGGAAATCAAAGTGGAAGCTACAGATTTAATTCCGAATCTGAGGAATTGGCGCACAGATCACATATACAAAGAAATGGAATTGTTCCCACCCCCCCCAAAGTCCAAATGACTCTTCCAATTAGAAGTTCTGAATATGATCATGTGGCCATCTTCAGGTGGTGATGAGGCCTCTGTCCGTTGACCTTGACATATTTTGATAAAACTTCGCAGCTGCGCAAAAGGGATAAAAGCTAGCCAAGAAATGGAAAGTTAAAAAGAAGAATTCATACGACCCCTCCCCTTGCTACCCACAGCAAAGGAATGC